CCCCCTTCCACTCTCTCTCTAAAGCAATGGAAAAGATATCCTTGGGTGAGGATTAAAAAAAAAGATCCTAATGGAATTTTAGAACTGAAAAATACAGCAATTTTTTTTTTTTTAATTACTGGATAGGCTTAATAGCAGAGTAGAGATGAGGGAGAAGAACATAAGTGAACCTGAAGAGATAAAAATTTCTTAATTTAAATAAGAGAGAAAATAGATTGAAAAAATGAACAGAGATTTAGGGACCTATAGGACTACAAGCATACCTCTTTTTATTGCGCTTTGCAGATACTGTGTTTTCATCAACATTGATGCAAGTAAAAAGATTACGATTCTCTGAAGGCTCAGGTGATTAGCATTTTTAGCAATAAAATATTTTTAAATTAAGGTACGTACATTGGTTTTTAAATCTATTGCACACTTAATAAACTACAGTTTATTGTAAACATAACTTATATGTGCATTGGGAAACCAAAAAATTTGTGCTACTCTATTGTGATATTTGCTTTATTGTATGATCTGAAACTGAACCTGGAATATCTCCATAGTATGGCTGCGTAACGAAAGATCAAATAGTTGTGTCACAGGAAAGGAGGAAGAATATGGGGGTGAAAAAATAATCAAAGAAATAAAGATGGAAAAATTCCCAGAGATGATGAAAGGCATAAACCCATGGATTCATGAAACTGAGTAAATTCTAAATAGGATAAATGCAAAGAAATCAACACCATGACATATTACAGTCAACCTCTGAAAACTAAAGACAGAAAAACTCTTGAAAGCAGCTAGACAGAAACAATACATTTTCCATAGGAAACAATGAATGACAGCAGATTTTTCATCTCAAACCAGAGAGGCCAGAATTATGTGGCACAACATTTTTCACGTGCTAAAAAACAGACTATCCACTCAGAATTCTATGGTCAATGAAAATATCCTTCAGGAGTGAAAGGGAAATCAGGACATTCTCTCACAAAAGAAAATTAAAAGAATTTGTCACCAGCAGACCTACCTAAAAGAATGACTAAAGAATATTCTCCAAATAATAATAGAAGGAAACTTGGAACATTGGGAAGAAAGAACAATGAAATGAGTAAAAATAAGGGAAAATTCTCTTGAGTTTTAAAAATTGTGTTTAATAGTTGAAGCAAAAATTATGACAACATAACGTAACTCCATGTGCATTCAATATGAGTTTCATTACAAGAGTTACCACTTTGGTTTCTTTGCTGTACTTTTATCTTTGTTGGCCAGGTCTCTCTTTTGATTAGCCCTTTTTATGAAATGTTACGTGGGTTTATCATTTGGGAATGAGGAAGCCGTACAACTGCATACTTGACCTCTGTGTTTGAACTGAATAACGGATGCCCAGTGCCCAGTCACTGACAGACTTTGAAAGAAGAGATGTGATCATCCACTGATCATGATGGCATTTATGTAGTGATTTGTGAACTGACAAGTTACCAGCAAAGTTGGTATTTTATGCAATTACAGTTAACATATTGTGGCAACTGAAATTTGTGTCATGTTGGGAGGCTGGTGTTACTTAAACTGTGGTATTTGAAACTGGTGTATATCAGATTTGTGCAAAGCAAGGATTGTCTGTTTCTGATGAAGGGCTTGTATCTAGAATATATAAAGAACTCTCAAAACTCAGCAGTAAAAAACCAACAATCTCTCTGGAAAATGGACAAAGGACATGAACAGACATTTCACCAAAAGGATATGTGGATAGCAAATAAGCACATGAAAAGATGTTTAATATTATTAACCATTAGAGAAATGCAAATTAAATCCACAATGAGATATCACTATACATATATTAGAATACCTAAAATAAAAATGGTGATAATACCAAATAATAGTGAGGATGTGGAGAAACTGGATCTTTCATACATTGTTGGTGGAAATATAAAATGGGACAGTGCTCTGGGAAATAGTTTGGCAGTTTCTTATAAAACAAAACATATACTAATCATACAACCCAGCAATTGCACTTTTGGGCATTTATCCCAGAAAAAGAACTTAAGTTTATACAAAAACCTTTATATAAATGTTCACGCAGTTTTATTTATAATAGCCAAAACCCTGAAACAACTCATATATTCTTCAACAGTTGAATGGTTAAACAAACTGTATATTTATACCATGGAATACTACTCAGCATTAAAAAGAAATGAACCATTGATATATGCAGTAACTTGGATACATCTCAGATGCATTATGTTCACTAAAAAGGTGCCAGTCTCAAAAGGTTATAGACTTTGTGATTCCATATATATAACATTATCCAAATGTCAGAATTATAGAGACGGAGAACAAAGTAGTGTTGCCGGTGCATAGGGACAGAAGGGAGTGGGTTCAGTGGTGATGGGACAGTTCTGTAGCTTCATTTCCTGCTGGTTACATGAATCTATACATTGGACAAAATTGTTTAGAATAATGTACACACACACACATGCGCATGTGTACATATAAAAGCTGGTGACATCTGAATAAGGCTTGTAGACTGATTAACAGTATTGTACCTAAGTAATTTTCTTGGTTTTGATATTGTGCTATTGTAATGTTTAATGTTACCATTGAGGGAAGCTGAAAGAAGGATACATGGTACTCTCTGTACTATTTTTGTAATTTTCTGTGAGTTTTTAATTATTGCAAAATAAACAGCTTTTTTTCCCTTCCAAAAAAAAAAAAAAAAGCCTTCCTGAGCACCAGTTACACATCATTTTTGTGAGACAGAGTTCACTAGTTTGTTATCCTGCTCACTTGCCTGTCATCCTACAGCTCTTCGCCTGGCCAGAGTCCTCTAGCAGGGTGTAGGGAGAGCATTTCCTTGTTGTAAGCAGAATATGGCATCACGTAGATGTGATTACTCTGCTAGGAGCTTGGTCCTTTAAAAGAAAAGCTGATTCATTTCTTTGGTTGGTATTTCTATGGAGTGCTTATAACTGGAGAGAAAACCCAAAGGCAATAAATAGATGAGCAATTTGGAACTGACAGCTGCTCATCACCCTGCTTTTTATAAATATTCGTGCCTTTTAATTTTTCTTGAAAGATAGAGACACAAACCACTGTGACATTTCAGGCTCTTTATAAGCGCTATCCTCTAAAATTGGGAAGAAAACAAGGAGTGTCACAGGTGTAAAATATCTAATTAAAATCTTTTATTCACCTCCAACATCACTTCATTTTTAAAATCTTTGTATGAGTGCAGGGTGGGGAGGGACTGAGAGAAAATTGAGACTTGAGTATAGTACATACAGTAATTTAGCCACTTTAAACAGTTGAACAAATTGTACTCCTGTAGTTAGATTGACAGTAATGACAGTGATTTAATTTTCATCAGCAAATTGCTCCCATCTCTTTACCCACAGTTTTCTACATTGGGGTTTCCCTAAAATGTTGCTGGATTGGGCAGGGCAAAGCCAAGATATTCTATGATTGTAGAATATAGAGAATCAAGGTGTGGATTATTCCACCTTAGACCTCAACCTTTCCCTGTGAGGTTAGGGGTTAAAGGTGAGCTTGCATTGCTTCCCCTGACCTCAGTGATTACAACAAGAAGACTTTTCAATCTTTCTGAACATTGGAAGTCAGGCTGGGATAAGAGAACCTTGGAAAACCTTGGGGCAGAGGGCTATATAGACTCTTGAAAGCATATTAGAAGATATCAGGATTTCTGATAGTACACATGAACAAAAATTTTGAGTTCTGGAGGAGCAGTTCTTTGAGGATGGGCACCCATGGTAGACCACAGGAGTCTTGGGAAGAAGTCTCCAATTGATTTAATTAATTATTTCTTTGCTTCTTAGGCAAGGCAGGCTGAGGTTAAACGTCTCTTCCGCCCCATTGAGGAGCTAAAGAAGGACTTTGCAGAGCTGAATGTTGTCATTGAGACTGACATGCAGATCATGGTACGGCTGATTAACAAGTTCAACAGTTCCAGCTCCAGCCTGGAAGAGAAAATTGCTGCGCTCTTTGATCTTGAATATTATGTCCATCAGGTATTGTATTTCATTGTCCATAAGTCTGATTTTTAACTTACAGCTTCAAAAATAAACCCCCTGCCCTAAGCTCTTGGAAAATACATCAGCATCTGTACTTTTCTCCCAACCTGTACAGTATTTTTAATCTAGGCCAATATCTATTGTCATAAAATACATTCTTTTTATTTATTTATAATCCTCACCCAAGGATATGTTTTTATTGATTTTAGAGAGGAAGGGGGAGAGAGAGAGAGAGAGAGACATCGATGTGAGAGAGAAACATCAATCAATCGCCTTCCGTACGCGCCTCAACTGGGGATTGAACCTACAACCTAAGTATGTGCCCTGACCAGGAGCGAAACTCGCAAACTTTTGGCACATGGGATGACATTCCCAACCAGCTGAGCCACCCTGCCAGGGCAAGATGCATTCTTAGAATCCAGAGCCAACCACTTTTTCATTTGGAGTATTACCTCCTTTATTTTTCAACACTAAGGATACAGCAGAGATAAAATAGATGTGGTCCCTGTTCCATGTAGATTACAAGAGGAAACAATTAAACAATGATCAAATTAACAGTTTAATGATGAGATAATTTAACATTGTGTTGAGGGCTCCAGAGGGTAATGTAGGAGTATATAACAGGGGGACTTAGCCTGGTCAGGGGCATTGGGAAGGCTTCCCTAAGTATGTGATATTTAGCCTGAGCATTAAAGGATGTATACGAGTTGGCCAGGCAAAGAGAGGAGATTAGAGCAGGGGATGGCAAAATGTGGCCCATGGGACAAATCTGGCCCACTGCTGGTTTTTATAAATAAAGTTTTGTTGGGACACAGCCACACCTATTTGTTTATGTATTATTTTATTGTTTTTGGCTCTTTTCAAGCTACAAGGGCAGAGTTGAGTAGTTGTGATAGAAACCATATGGCTCAGAAAGCCAAAAATATTTATTATTGGGCCTTTTAGGAGAAGTTTGCCAACCCTTGGATTAGAGCATTCTAAGCAGAGGAAACGGCATGTGGAAAGATTCTGAGTCAGAGAAGAGCTTGGTGAGATTGAGGACCTGGAAAAGATTAGAGCATAATGACCTAGGGATGGGGTTGTAGAGATAAGGTGGAAAGATTAGGGAGTCAGAGAGGTGTGGTTGGGAATACCGTGCTCTTTATGATTTTATCCTTGATCCTAAGAACCATTGGAGAGTTTGTAGCAGAGAAATGACTGATCAGACTTGTGCCATAATAGTTAATATTTATTGAGCATTATCATATAATAGGCTAATATTCAAGTGCTTTGTACACAGTAAATTATTGGTTTCTATAGCTGCCTTTTGAGTAGGCATTGCACTCAAGTAGGCTATTAATCCCATTTTATGACTTAGGCAAATAAGGTCTCACATTTGTGGTTGCCCAAGGTCACCCAGTTAGTGAGTGGTAGAGCTGAGATTTGCAACAAAGCCTGTCTGACCCCAAACTCTGTGCTCTTAACCTTTTGGCCACTCGACCTCTTATAGAATACTGGTACCATTTGAATGAAGCTCAAAAGGGAGTAAGTGAATCTAAGGAAAAGGAACCAAGAGAAGCCATTTATTTATTCAGTACATTGATTTATTGGGTGCCTGTTAAGTCCCAGGCACTGTTCCAGGCACTTAGGATACCTCTGTGAACAAAATTAGAGCTTACCTTCTAGCAGAGGCAGATAGACAATAAGCATAACTAATAACTAAATTATAAATAATATGTTTGAAGGTGATAAATACTATGGAAAAATAAAAAGTGCAGGGAAGGGAAAACCTTTCAGGCAGGAGAAACAGCAAATACCCTTAGCCCTAAGGTGGGAGCCTGTCTAGCGTGTTTGAGGAACTTCAAGGAAGTCAGTGTGCCTGGAGCTGAGAGAAGAGGTAAAGAGGTAGATGAAACTCAGAGAGATGATGGGAGGAACATCATGGAGCTCCTTGTAGGCCATGGAAAAGAATGAAATTGAACATCATTAGAGGATGTTGAGCAGAAGAATGACACTATCTAACTTATTTTTAAACAATCCCTCTGGTTGCTGTATTGAGAATTAGACCAGAGGCGAGGGGTCAGGAGGGGGCATGGGTAGAAGCAGGGAAACCAGATAGGAGACCGTTGCAGTAACACAGACTAAGGGTGATGCTGGCCCAGGAAAGCTGTGTAATCATAATCAAAGGCTTTTTGAGATACTCACCAAGACACAGATCTTCACCATCCTCCCACACACGACAGCATCCTTGTTCTGTATAAACTAGGCTAAAAGACATTCTCTTTTTCTTTAGGGTTTGCCAGCCTTTGTGGTGAGAGAGGATAAGTGTGGACTCTATCTGCAGGAATTATGGGACGGCCACTTCATCTTCTTTCTCTGCTCATAACTCTTTCTCAGGCCTCAAATAGCAGGTCTGTGATCCTCTTAGAGAAAAAAAATGGGCCTGGTTCTCTTTTCTCTTCCTAGTGTTTCTCTCCAGGGTAAAAAACCAAAAATTCCAGTAGCTTTTCCATTATAGGTATTTAAAGGACTGAGGATCCTAGGGGTTATTGGCTAAGTCAGTCCTGCTCTGATGTCGACAGCTTTTATTTTTTCTCATCTGATAGTATTTGGATAGATCTTTAGTTACCAGGTTTCTGTAAGCTCTTTCTTTAGTTGCAGCATAAAAGGCTAAAATGACTAGAAAGCTTACCATACCAGAGGGGAGTGAGTACATAGGAGGCTAGCAGGGCCCTGACAAATTTCTTTTTTCCTGTCAAGCCAAATTGTTGCCTGGCTGTGTCATCTCTAGGGTGACATCCTGTTCTGTTTTCATAGGTCACTAGTTGAAGTAAACAGTTTCTTGGATATCACCAAACTCAGCCTGAGGTTAGCCTGGTAACCAGTCCCCTGGTAGAGGCCAAACTTGCCCTATTGACAGAAGAGTCATAAATGGTTTGGATCATTAGCCTTTCCTTGGTTTGGGCTGGTATGTCAGGTTTCCATGTAACAGTTTTAAGTTGTGATTTCACAGGGTGATTAAAGAAGACAACAGCTTGGCGTTGAGTTCCATTTGTGATGGGGAATTGGGATGATGTAGAGCTAGCTTTGAGGAAGATAGGACTTTTCTTGCCAGGAACTTCACCAGTCCATTCCTATTCTAGATTCATGGATTAGCAGTTTTGAGAGCCATGGGCTTCAAGGACCCAAACTGGATCTGCCCAAGGATTCCTCATAGCCATATTTAAATTATTAAACAGAATTTGTGAAAAGCAAAACCGTGTATATGGAAAACAGTTTGTGAGTTATTTATGAGGAGCAGCCTCTGTCTACCCATCCAACCTGGGTCAGTGTGTTTGCCTTCTCTCACATCATGACTGCTCAATTATTTACCATCATTTCTCCCTTTCTCTGTTCCCTTTTCTCTCACTGTCTTGTCAGTGATCTGGTTCTTGTTTTTCCCCCTGATGGCTGGCACAGTTCCCTTCTGCCCCCTTCTTCATACACTCTCCTCCTTTACCTTGAGCTCCTCTCCACCTGTCCCACCCCATTCTGAAGGCATCCTGGGGAAGTCCTGGCTCCAAACCTAGATTTCAGGGCTTGGTCTTCTGGGTGTGCAGTGGGCAGAATGACTCCTTTCTTCCTCATCTCTAGTGAAATAACAAATGAGAAAACATCTAGAGAAGGCTGAAATGCTTATATAAATGTCAGCATTTCTAACACTCTACATTATCTTTGTAGTAGTAAAGATAAACAGTCTAGAACAGAACCTTTGTGACTCTGGGCTGTGTTGTTTTGGGGCTTTCAGAGTGGCAGCTGTTCTGGTAGGAGCTCATATAAGCTTTGATATGTAGGCATCCCAGGCACAGAATGACAGGACTCTGAGCCATGGTTTTGTATCTGGAAGACCTGGAGGAAGGAGGGTCAAAGAAGAGGCAGTAAATTCTTCGGTTTTAAAATCAGAGTATGGCCCGGCCGGGCATGGCTCAGCGGTTGTGCATCAGCCTAGCATCCAGGAGATCGTGGTTCAATTCCCGGTCAGGGCATATGCCTGGGTTGCGGGCTCGATCCCCAGTCGGGGGCGTGCAGGGGGCAGCCGATCAAATGATGACTCTCTCATCATTGATGTTTCAACTCTCTCTCTCTCTCCCTTCTTCTCTCTGAAATCAATAAAGATATATTTTTTAAAAATTAAAATCAGTATGTAAGGAAGGAAGGCTCAGTATGTATTATTTGTGCATATGTTAGTAAAGCACCCACTTGTGAGTCTCCCTGGTTAGCTGTGCTATAGCCTAATAATCATTCCTCTTCATGAGGACAGATTAGGGCAGAAAAATCCCAGCCCTGGCTTGGAGCCTTTATGGCAGAGCAGACTCCATACTCACTATGTCCCTGGATTGGCCATTTTTTCAGGTCTGTGATACCAGGGACCCATCCATTTTGTTGGCACGGATACTCCAGATTGCCTTTTTTTAAAAGTGTTTATTGCAGTAACTTTTTTTTCTGACCAGATTTATTCATTAGTTTAATGATTATTGAGCACCTAACTATATGCTTAGCGCTAACAAGTCACTAGACCTACAACAGTGGACAGGCAAAAACCCTCGCTCTTGTGGAGTTTACGTCAGAATATGTAAGAATGATCTTCTAAGTGGTAAAAACAGGCTAGGCCCACACCAAAGCAGAGTGAAATACAGTTCTTTAAACTCGATTTCTCTGTTAGAACCCTCTTCCAGTTCTGAAGGACACAGGTAGGAAAGGGCTCTGTGGCATCTGGAGGAAAAAGGTGGGTAGCAGTCACGTTGTTGTTGGGCCCTACCTTCCTGGGTTTTCCTGATGATTCATAAAGTGGGAGCAGCATGTGGACAAGAGGCAGCTTTTGTAGCAACAAAGATATTTTCAAGGGACACTTAAAGCTACTCCATAAGGAAAACAGGATCCTGTGACCTTTCTGAGGAAGTTCTTATTGTTCTAGGATACTAAAGAAGCTTGGAGAATGAGATATCCCCTCTTTCTTAAAATAAAAGATAGATCATCTGGAATTGAGTCTTTGGACCTTAAATGATAGCCTAGACCAGTGCTGTCCAATAGAACTTTATGTGATGGTGGAAATGTTCTGCGCTGTGCAATGAATAGCCACTAGCCATTATCACAGGTCTAGGCAAGCCTTTGAGAGAGAGACTTTTGTTCAGATTTTCTCATGAATATCCGTAGGTTCAGTCAACCTTGGACTGTATGAAGTGAGGAAGAGAGAAAAGAAGGGTACTGTTGTTACTTCTTCCCTATTACTCTTCCAAGTCCCCCTTCCCCTGCAGTGGGGCTCCTTTTATAGTCCCTGACTTCTAATTAAAAATCATCTTTTTGAAAAAATGTCTGTTGCCTCCACTTCCCCAATTGGGGCTAGACATCAACAGGAAGCGTGGTACCATTTAGTGATGTTGATGATGTCAGATCTTTGTGTTAACAGCTTGTACATTAGGAGTAAGCTTCATGACTCATTACAGTTTTAGAATTTTCCAGGACATGTTTGGCATAAGCAATAAATAGGTGCCATTTTCGCCAGTTCCCACACAGGTGCTCATAAGTCATGTTAGTTTAATTAGTAGTTCTCAAATTTAAGATTATTTAAACATTTAGTTTGTTTTTACACACTCTTTTCTAGTTTGAAAGGCAACCATTGATTTTTACTGGACTTTTTAGTTTGTTTTTGGAGAGTCACTAAAAGAAAGGCTATAAGAAGAGCTCTTCTTTTCTTGATGACAGTGCTGTCCTAAGAAGTGCCTTTGTTGCAGATGGATAATGCACAGGACCTGCTTTCCTTCGGTGGCCTTCAAGTGGTGATCAATGGGCTGAACAGCACAGAGCCTCTGGTGAAGGAATATGCTGCGTTTGTGCTGGGGGCTGCCTTTTCCAGGTGAGCAACAAGAATGGACTTCTCAGTAGCCAGGATTGTTTGGGCCCTTGAGGTGAGTTCTAGCTTTACTCTTGGACTCAATGGCCCAGAAAAAGATTACATTTGAACTCGTGTACATCCCTATTCCTATTTCACTGTAATCTCAATGAAACATGAGTAAGAATTTGATTCTGTTCTTATTTCAAGTAGATAAAAATTTTCACCCTTGTTGTCACCATTTATGACTCTCTTTTCCCCCTCATCTTATATAAATGGTCACTTCACGACATCTTTTAGATCACATTCTCTGTTTTATTCAAAGCTAATAAAAAGTTATATATATCAATCATAGATAGTTGAGAGGAAGGGAGATGAACTCCAAGAGCTGATCCTTTTGGAAGTGAGGCTACATACATATATCTGATGATGAACCTGACCAAGGAGGGGCTTTGGGGAAATGTGTCTTTTTCCTAGTTGTCTGGAACCAGTCAACATGCAGTCAGGTTATCGGACTCTGTAAGTTGGGAGTTGTTTAAATTTCAGTTAGTCTGGCTGGTGCTAAAAGACTGATCTCTCCAAAGAGTGGATGTATCCAGTATGTGGGTACCACTTAATTAGTTTAATTAGTAGTTCTCAAATCTAGAATTATTTAAACATTTAGTTTGTTTTTACAAACTCTTTCCTAGTTGGAAAGGCAACCTAGTTGGAAAGCCAAACTAAAAAGTCAAGATGTCTTTAAGCTGCAGTTGTTCTATTGGAGCTATAGTTCCTTCCATTTTTGAAAATCTGCTCCTAAGACCATTTGTTTCTCTAAAACAGGAACAAATATCCTGATTCTTGCTATAGGGAATGAGTGGTGACTATTAGGGGTTGTCTTGCTTGGATGTAGGGATTGTGATGTTGTAGGAAAAAAGGCTATTCTGAACATCTTTACCATTGGAGGCTTTCTCTTGAAAAAATTTCCTTTGCCTTTCATCCATGCTTATCTTTATTTAATTAGAATCTGTCTGATGTTCTCTCATTCTGAAAAGCTTCAGCACCTTTTCTTAGTAAATTAAGGGGCAAAATGGGGAAGGTCCGAAGAATTGTTCCATGAAGAGAAACTGAGAGCACTACAGGCCTTTGTTTCCTTTGTCACTAACCTGCCTTGATCTTGAAGCCCTGGTTATTCTGTGGTTGTGTTGTTGACAGTCAAGGCTATGGCCTCCAAGGTGCTCCATTTCCCTTAGCCCCACCTACAGAGCCAGATAGTTTCCCAGGATACTTGTGCATCCACTGGAAAGGTGGAGAACCCGAGCTTGTCATTGGTAGCTGTGATTTCAGCCCTCATAAGGCAGCGGTGGGGAACCTTTTTTCTGTCAAGGGCCATTTGGATATTTATAACATCATTCACGGGCCATACAAAATGATCAACTTAAAAATTAGCCTGCTGTATTTGGTCAAACATTTAATTAACTCACCCCTAATGTGATGGCTGGAACTGCTTCTCTTTGGTGATGCCTTGGCAGGGCCAGACCAAATGATTTTGTGTGCCATACACAGCCCGTGGGCCAGACTTTCCACACTCCTGTGACATAAGGCTTTAGAGGCTTGAGAACTTACTGAGGCTCACATTTTGTTTTTCAAGCCATAAAAGAACTAAATCAAACATATTAACCTCTCTTCTGAGACCCTTTTTGGAAATTTTTTCCATAATTCCAAGTACTTTCTACTTTCAATAAAAACAAATGATTTTACTTGTTCCTTGCCATTGCTTCTGGAAACACATTTCTTATGGAAAACTGTGTAGTATCTTGATGTCACTTCTTAGTTAAAGGAGACTAAATGACTTGAGAAATATGCATTGGACCTGCTTAGCAGGCCATAACCCACCTGGGGCTGTGCCAATATGTGGTATTATTAAGACTTCTCTGTGATTGTATTAGGGCAAGACCATGTTAACATTTATGCAGTATCACTAAAATTTAAAGAGATAAATATAAAATATTGCAGTTTATTATTTTGGTGACAAGTGTACTGCTGTATTCACAATGTTCTAGCCAGGCTCATTGGAGGGCCGTTGCAGTGACAACATGGTATGGTGCCAGAGCTTTTGGAAGCCAGCAGCAGGCTTTTGAACGTCATGAAATGTCAGTGTTTTATGCCAAGAGGAACTTGATGCAATGTAGAATATTTCTATGCAGAGAGGCAGGTTTCAGTGCTCTAGTCTGATATTCATTATTTCCTTTTGATGTCCTAAGTATTGGTTCTGCAGTTCCTTCCCTGTCCCCAGCGTACAGTGATTCCTCCTTGTCAAGAGGCTCTTCAAGGGATATTGAGCACATTGGAATCATGGAGTCCCAGGATTTGATGGTGTTACTTAGAGGTCATTCCTTGTAGTTTTCTGCTGATGGGCAAGAATACTGCTCAATCAGTCCAAATGTTTGAGCATTTCAGAGGGCAAGGTACATCACTTTACCTAGAGTTGGAAAATCTAGTTCAAGTCCAGTTTCTACCATTTTCTGGCTTTTTGCCCACTGGCAAGTGATTTCACCTTTCTAAGCCTCACTTTTTTCATTTATTAACTAGGAACAATAATAGGTGTCCTCTGCATTTCATAAGGTTAAGTGAATATGAAATAACAATATATAGTCAGTCCTGTGAAAATGCTTATAAAGCACCTGTCAGTGATAAAGAGTATATAACATCATCATGCTCACCATGTGTCCTTTTTACTATGAGTTTTCACTGTGAGGCAATTCTTATTTCTTTAGTTTTTACAGTATAAACCTTTATTTCCTCATTTTTCTCTTCAGTTAAGGTGCTTATGTTCTACCACGTAGCGTATCTCTTGATGCTAATCTTGCTGCTTTATTTGCCTACCTGTCTTAATTGCTTAATAAGGCCTCCACACACATTTCTATGGATGAAGCGATCTCTTCCTTGGTGTTAAATGTGAAGTGATTATTCCAAGATCAAGAAGAAGGCATTAACCTAAATGTAATTGATGTGGCTACTGAATGTTACATGGCCACTGAAATGGTTTGTTCCCTTATTTAAATATTATTCCCACTTATTTATGGGTCACACACACACTCATTTTCTGCTGTTTGTTGCCCCGGTATAAGGTGGTCAAGCTCTTGCATAAGAAGTTATGCGGAGATAGGGAGATAGGAGTCTGATGCTTTTGGCAGCTTCATCTTTTTACATCTTTTTATGGTTTCTTCTCTTTTTTTAAAAAACCTCTTTTCTTCTTCAAGTCAGTTATTTTCAGTGCCTTTTCTGTGACCTGATTTCATCTCATAATGGCACCTTTGCATCTGTCTACAGTCTGACCTAACCAGGAATCTGGGAGTCCCGGACAGGTCATTTGTGTTACTGTGTATAGGAAGTCTCAGAAAGGCTTTTTAACTTCAGAGGCCATGGGGCCTTCTGTAATTAGGTTTTTCTTTTACTTCTCAGCAAACTGGCTTCTTCCTTGTTTTCTTTTTATTTCCCTGTATGTAACCTTGACCTTTTAACTGTCATGTTAAATTATCAAGAAATTGGTGTGCTCACACTGGGAAGCACTGCTGTTCTCATGCCCTTGCCTCAGTCACTTTAAAAAAAAAAAGTTTTTTATTAATTTTTTTAGAGAAAGAAGGGAGAGGGGTGGAGAGATAGAACCATCAATGAGAGAGAGACATTGATTGGCTGCCTCCCGAATGCCCCCTACTGGGGATCGAGCTCACCCACAACTCAGGCATGTGCCTTGATTGGGAATTGAACCAGGGACCTCTTGATTCATGGGTGAACTCTCAGTGTCTGAGCCACACTGGCCTGACTTACCAGTTCATTTTTAACCATTTGGCCATTGTTCTGTCTTCATCTATTGGCCTCCAATTTCCAGATTTCTTTCTTGCCACACTCAGCGAATTTCAGTGCTCATCTCTATCTTCTCTGTGTTTCCTGATGGTTTTTGTGAGCTTACTGGGGTAAACATTCCCAAATTAATATTTATCTTTACTTCTGTCATGTGCAAGATATTTTGAAACTCACTTCCCATTCTTTTCAACATCTGATTTTCTCTGACCACCTCCGTTATCTCTTCACATTGTTCTCTCTCCTGTTGAACATGATTTTTGTCCTTATTGTGACCTCTAGCCTCTGCACATCTTCCCTTCCCTTCCAAACTCTTTGAAAGAGTAGACAAAAGATGATCCAAATAAGTGCTCATGAGCATTATATTCCTACCATCCCTGAAATTTTTCAAGAGTGTTTTGGAATCGTCACCATCTGTGTAGCAGTTTACAGCGTCAACCACTGCTTTCTTTTGGAAATTTTACTTCTTGGCTGCTACGTTATTGTAGTCCCTTGGTTCTTGAATATCAGTAATTAATTATTCCCTCTCCTTTTATGGCAATGTCATCATCTTCCTATCTCCTAATTATAGCTATTCACCGAGATTTTTCTGACCTCGTCCTCTCCCTTTTCTGCCAGTGGCCCTACTGTTTCCCGTGGTTTCAGGTGCCTCGTTGCAGGTCACTCCAGCATCTGTTGAAGTCCAGCCTTTCCCCTCAGGCCTCATCCTCCATTTCTACCAGGCTGTCTAGTTGCACCTCAGAGTTAAGGAAAAGAAAATGGAGTTCATTTTTGTCTCTCTCACAAACTAGATTTTTCCTCCCACGTTCTCTTTTTATCTATTCTTGGCAATATGACTGTCATAGTTACCCAAGCTTGAAACTTGTGAGTGATATTTGAGTCTTCTTTCTCCTTATCTAGCTGGTGAATGAATCCTGTGGGTTTTTATTTTCTCTGTTGTTGTCTACTAAACAACGTTTCTTTTTTTTAAGTCTATATTAAGGAACTTTGAGGTAAGCAGTGTGTTCAGGGAGGGGATTCCCTCTCCCACTGCTAAAGCAAGCATAGTAATCCCATTCTCCATGGACATAGATTGATTTACAGATGGGCATGTGACCCGGTTCTGACCAATGAGACATAAAGAGATGTTTGCTGGGAAGGCTTCTGGGAAGGGTTTTGCTCTCTTATAATAAGGTAAGGAG